ACATCTCCATAAAGCTTTCATAGAGGTACTCTTTCATTCTTCTCACCAGGTTTCTGGGGAGGCCCGCCTTATTCCATTTTCCATGGAAGGACGCCTTTCTATGCCAACCCAGTAGTAAGTGGTTTGGCATCACTGCAGCACAAAGCATTGCAGCATAAGTTTCTGGCTGCATTCGCTCAGTATCTGCTACCTATCACTCTATGTGATTTAGAGAAGACTGATATCTCACATAACTTGGGAGAAGCAGGGGAAAATATGTAACTGATTCCACAGCAGTACACTATCGTTTGCTATCCTCAACAAAGCATTGTTTGAGCATCTACGCTGTTGCTACACCTGGATCTTCCTCCCATCTGCAGGCCCCTCGGTGTCCATGTGAACCTCTGCCCTTCCACTGCATCTGGGCCCTTCCCTCTCCTATCTGCAGGGTCCTGTAGGAAGGGAAAGCTTCACTCTCCCAGCAAATGTGGGGTGCCAAACACAGTCACCACTCGAGCCCCTGTGCTGCTGCCATACTACTGTGGCCCACCTATGTAAATGGAGATTCTTGCCTAGCTAGAAGAGCTGCAATTTGCAAGCACTGTGACACACACGCTTTGAAAGTGAAAGCAAAAGAGCAAGCCCCAAGAGTCCAGCTGTTCCCTTAAGATCACTGTGGGGTACCTGTTCCCTTAAGATCACTTATGGGTACTTAAAAGCATAACTTTGGCCTTGTACATAACACATGCCTATTGTCTTGGACAGATATCATGCTAGGAGATTAGGTTCTATGCTCCACAATGTATCTCCTGTAATGTCTGCCTTTCACTTTTTGTTACAGTGGATGCAACAATGAGCCTGTTGCACACTTTCCTGGTTCTGGCGCCTCCAGTTGTTTGGCTATCAGAGATCCGAAAGTGAAAACATAGTAGAGATGACATGTTCAATGAGCAAATGAAATCTTCCTGCTTGAGCAGGATGTGATTAAGTGAGTGGAGGAAAATGCTGCTGCATTGGATGGAGCATGAGGACAGAAAAAGTGAGCAGTGGTTGCAAAGTGAAGACACAGAAGAATGTCTTGAGGATCATGGCAGAGCGGATGACATGCTTGATGGACTCACAAGAGACCCAGATACACAGGCACCCCTTCCAGCCCATGCTGACCCAAATTCCCTCCTCACCAAGTTTCAAAGCCTAATCTCTCAGGTGCCCTAGAACAAGGGCAACCTCACACTCAACCCCCAGGGATGTATCCTGGAACAAAAGGCTGTCATACTTATACCTGTGTGATTGGGGGACTGTAGTTCACTGCTTTTCTTTCTCCCCACCCCTCACTGAAGCTCCTGCCCTGAACTTCTTTCCTGTTCCAGCTTCCTTGTGTTCCCTAAATGAAAACATGATTCCCCAGTAACAGTATCTTTATTGCTTGTGTTGCATAAGGGTGGGGATTACAGGGTTTACAGACAAGCATACTTAATGCAGGGGGCACCTCATTAAGAGGAACACTTGTGACTGTCAAATAGTTGTCTGACCATTCACAAAACTGTTTTTTAAAGCCTCTCTGATTTGCAATGTCCCTCACAGTGGTCTCCTTATTGTCCTGTTTTCTGGCTGCTCATAAATAGTGGCTAGGTACTGTGCCTTGACTCCCCACTCTGGCATAAAATTTTCCCATTTACTTTCACAAATATAAAGGAGCACAGAGCAGGCTGCCACAACAATGGGAATATTGCTTTTGCTGAGGTCTAACCTAGTTTGTAAACAGCAAAACCTTCCACTTTGTCCAACATCACATTCTACCACTATTCTGACTTGCTCAGCCTATAGTTGATCTGCTCCTTGCTGTAGTCCAGGCTTTGTGTGTATAGCTTCATGACCTATGGGAGCAAGGCATAGGCTGGGTCTCCAAGGATCACTATTGGCATTTGAACACTTCCAATGGTAACTTTCTGGTCTGGGAAGAAAGTTCCATCTTGAAGCTTTCTGAAGAGACCGGAGTTCCTAAAGATGTGTGCCTAATGAACCTTCCCTGACCATCATACATTGATGTTGGTAAAATAGTCCTTGTGATCCATCAGTACCTGCAACATCGAGAAGTACCCGTTGCATTTTATGTACGCTTTGGCAAGGTGTGTTCTGTCTGTCACCCAATCACAGTTAGAGTGTGTCTAGGCTATGGAGTTTTTTTGAAAAAACTTCATCTGCATCTAGACTGCCATTGCATTCTTTCAAAATTAAATTGAAACAACATGGTGGTATTTTTTGAAATCGGTAAATTTACTTTTACCAGGAAGACACCATTTTTCAAAAGAGCTGTTTCAAAAAAAGGTGTTCTTGAATGCAAACAGGGCTTTTTCGAAAGAGACCGGACAGATTGCCTGGGTACTCTCTTTCGAAAAAGTAGATCGCTTTTTTGAAACTCTTGTGGCTGTCTAGACAATCATGTTTGAAAGAGGCTTGTAGTCTAGACATATCCAAAGGGAACCCCATCATGGCAAAGTTGTCAACTGTGCCCTGCACATTTCCTATAGTCACTACCCTTTGTAGAAAAAGGATATTGATTGCCTTGGCTACCCGGATCACAGAAGCCCCCACTGTAGATTTAACTACTCCAAAAAGTCCTAACTGACTGGTAGCTGTTTGGTGTTGCAAGCTCTCACAGGCTATTGCCACCCTCTTCTCAACTGTCAGAGCACGTCTCGGGGTGCGGGAAAGCAATTCACAAACTTCCATGAAAGTGGCCTTAGTCATGCCAAAGTTTTGCAGCCACTGTTGATTGTCCCATAGCTGCATAACAATGTGGTTCTCCCAGTCTGTCTTGTCTCACAGCATCAGAACCGGCGTAACACTGTGTCAAGAGGATCGAATGCCTTCAGCATCTGTCAATCACTCATCTCAAGTGCTTCACACAAGAGTCTGTTCATGGCTTCCTCAGATTCTTTCTTGTTCCAGCGGGCCCTGGATATGCTCTGGATACACTGCAGCATAAGGTGCAAGATGTTTGCTATGATTGCCATAATACTTTGCTGCTGAACGGGGTTCATGTTTACCCTGCTCTGGCGTCTGCAGGAATAACCAGGGAAAAAAGGGCATGAAAAGATTGTTTGCCATTGCTTTCAAGCTGGAGAGGAGGAAAGAGATGAGTGCATTATGGGATACTGATGATATGCACTCAGAACCACCCAATGCACTGTTATAGTCTCAGTAGCCATTGGGAGGATAACCCACAATGCAAAGGGGTGACAAGTACTGCAGGATAGCTCCCTTCAGTGCCTCATTGTCAAAGTCAACAGTAGTTGCACTACTGAGTATGCTTTACATTGAACTCTTGCACACAGTGTGGAAATGCACCTTCAACTTTACAAAACTGGGTGCTAAAAAATCAACCTTAATAAATTCGACCTGATCTTGTAGTGTAGACAAGCCTAAGAGTACCAGGGTATCCACCTTATCTATGTAATATTGGAGCAAGTGAAAGCTTATCTAGCAGCAAATTTGTTTTTAAACAAAAAATAGCATAGTAAGCATGATAAATATATCTGGCCCAATTCCACAAGAACCGTAGGTATCCAGAGGGAATCTACTAGCTAGATTTTTTCTAAACCCAGTTTTTCAGGTTTGT